TGATCTGATTAAATTGTTGATTTAAAAAATCCTTGAACAACTTATATTATAGAAATGGCTTGTTGAAATAGTGGGCAATTTCCTCGTTGTTACTATATACGCGTTAATTGTCTCGATAACTTTTACTCTTAATTCTAGTTGCATATTTTCATTTTCTCGGCAGAAGTAACTATTTGGCATCAACTTTACAGTGAATCGGGTTTTACCTTTTATAATTCTCTTATTTTTATATAAAGGCAGGTCAGAGTTAATATCGTATAAGCGTTAGTATTTAAAAAAAATTATATATGCATATGTGCATGCACTTATAATCTCAGGACTTTTATTATCTGGGTATAATAGTCACAGCAAATGGATATACAGAAGCGCATATCCAGAAAAGTCTCTACAAAACAAGTCTTTTGAAGCATTCAGATAACGTTGATCTGAGACAAAACCGACAATCCGCAAGATTAGCGTTTTCGACAGTTTAGTGTATGCATACAAAAACTAGGCAAGGCCAGGGGACTGGACAACTGTGCTAATGAGCATAAATACCTTGATAAGTGCCCTTTTCAGCCATATTATAAACTGTGAGAATAATATGCGAATAATAGTATACAAGATAAAAGTCCCTTGCTAGCTAATTGAGCCATCAGTGGCCGAATACAGCTTTAGGATCAAGCCAAAATGAATCTGAGTGGTACATCTAAATTTTGTGTGGGCAGATCTACAAGTGTGAATGTGTATGTGTGAAACGCATGCGGATTTAATTAATTATTACAATTATGGTTGGGGCTACCATTATCAAGAAGTGGAACTAATAGAAATGGTTGGAATATTTTGAATAGTGTATGAAGCTAAATATGTGGAGCTAAGAGGGGACATAATCAGGAAGAGAGATACGAACGTAGGAAACAAATTTACTTCTTTAAGATTATCCATCATCTCAAAAAATGAACTGTTGATGAGGCCCAGCATCCGTCGGATGGTGATAGAACCAGTCTCTGGATGCTCAGCCAGATAGGTCTGAATGTGCTGCTGGTAAACAGGAGAGGAGAGTAGGTCATCTAATCAAGAGATTTATAAGAACAAAGGGGTAAATGAAGTGAAGAGGTGTAAAGTTGGAAAAAAAATGTTGACTACCAGTTAAAGCAAGGGTTTGCAAATTATCCGCGCAAATTAATTAAAACATTGTAGGAGAAAAAGGTCAAGAATATATAGAAGATTAGGGGATAATCAAAGATAAAAGGGGTAAAGAACCGAATATAATGCGGAAGCTGATCAAGATATATGATGAAGAGGAAACTGTCGTAGCAAAATTTAAATAACTGAGTGCTTTAAATTAGCTATTTCTTACCTGTATCATCTGGAACCAAGGTATCTGTCGAATTAAAAGGGTTGAAGTTGAGATAGGGAGGCCGAGTGAATCGGAAAGCGAAGCCGGAGCCCTAATTCGGAAAAATGTAGGTTTGTGATTCAAGGTAAGCATATTAGATTACTGGGAATAGATATTCAAAAGAATAGGATACGAAATAAAAAAGTTGAGAGTATATGACTTATCAAACCAGTGGGATCAAATCGGAGTGAATGTTCAAATTAGAAAAACTAAGGTCAAAGCAAAATAGCAAAAAAATGGATTTCCGTCATTGTAATATAATGAAAGCGTGCAATCGGCTTAGTTCACCTCTATGCCTAAAATTTAATCCGGTTAAGTCATAAGTGGCATTCGTGTACTGTAACTGTTTTAGATGTACTCTAGAACCAAAATAGACAGATTTTGCCGGCAACACCTGCGTGAATATACACTTTCTCAGAAGTTAACATCTTACTAGCTGTAAATGGGTAGGTGCAACTAAGTCATAATACAAAGTTTCGCCTAAGAGATAAAGTTTGAATCGATCTGGAGCAGATGAGCATAATCCAAAAATCTGGTTAAAACTTTTACTCCAGTCAGTTTTGCTACATCTCTCTTTACAACCACCCAGTAAGCAGTTCCCTCAGTTCACGCAAGACCATTCGGAGCATAACTCCCCGGCACTATGTCCTGCGGAGACTATGCGAACCTATTGTTGGAGAGACTTTCATTTGGTATGAAAGTGGATGAAGAGGAGATTTGAAAGTCGAGCTCACCAGAAGATGACGGTTGATTCCCGTTGTATTATAGCCGTTTGGCCTTAATACGACGTTGACGTTGACGCAGTCCACGAGGCGTTCTCCCTCGTTGCGAGTGAAAACTGGCTGAGCTTTAGTTCATCATACCACGGATATCACCTGAGGTGAAACTAGTTCTTGTAAAAGTCTGATGTTGACACTAGGTCAAGAAGACTATCTGGCTCTATCTTACTCTTATATATATACATAACTAAAAACCAAAATATATAGACATAGATAGATATAAAATAGTTAGGCTGATTATCCTTCAAGTTGGTCATGCTAATTATACTTGAGTGTATGTGTGTGTCTGTTAGTGTCTATACGCAATAAAGGTTCCAAATTAGTGACCAAAAAGCCTAATGTCAGGCTCTGGTCATCAAGGCTCAATGACCAAAGAGAAAACCCCGATCATGACTACGTAAGCTCGTAAGCATCTCTAGTTGAGATAATGAAATGCGTTGGAAGCATATATGCTAGAATCATTTCAATGAACTAGTATTTTTTCTGCATAACTTGACCTATCAACGACTTCCACTGCTCCACCCTTGTTGGCTTACAAAACAATTAAATAATTGCAACATACATATCCAGAAACCCTACTGAGAACATGAAATTATTTGGTCAAAATAAGAAATCACTTCAAACTCAATAACATTATCCATCGTTTCAGACAATGTACTATATAAGTTAATTATTGGGGGGACTTTCATTTCGTATGAAAGTGCATGAAGAAGAGATTCGTAGGTCGATTTCACCAGAGGAGGAAGGGTGAATCCCGTTGTACTGCAGCCGTTTGGCTTTTATACGACGTTCAGGTTGACACAGTCCATAAGGCATCCTCCCTCATTTCGGGTGAAAACGAGTAGAACTTTTATCTATCATATGATGAGTATATGAGCAGAGACTGGACATGAGAGAGAATGGTCTCAGACGAGTATTGCATGTCAGTATATTATTGACGAAAGCCCAGCCTCTTTTCACCCGAAACGAGGAAGGATGTCTCGTGGACTGTGTCAACCTGAACGTCGTATTAAAGCCAAACGGCTGCAGTACAACGGGATTCACCCTTCCTCTTCTGGTGAGATCGACCTACGAATCTCTTCTTCATGCACCTTCATATGAAATGAAATTCCCCCCAACAATGTTATCTCAGAAGATTCATCGAAACACACTTTCTCTTCGTATCTATAAGTTAAATACTTTAACATGTGTCTGTAGAATGGTTTACTTCATTTGGAAGAGCAAAATTCAATCCTCTTTCCAATAAAAGTTCCACACTATACTCCAGAGTTATACTGGATAAATTAATTGTCTTATTATTCCCAAATTTAGTAAAAACATTGTCATTACGACTTACCTTAGGAGAAAGATTTTGAAGTCTAATTCCAAATCCTAGATTCCTAAGTTTCTAAGCGTGTATTCGCCTAGTCATTCTATTCGCGGCCACACATAAATCGCCAGCCATATTCACAGCAGTCTGTATCTTAGAGAGGGATTGCGTAAGCCTAGTTTGGGTTCTAATTTGTTCGTGTAGCCTGGTAATGCTTTCCTTTAGCCTTATGGTAAGGAAAGCCTATACAGTCCTATACTTTAAATTAACCAACATAAGGCCAACGTATGCTGGCTTAATTATTAATTTTATTTCCAAGCATAGTTATAAGACTAAGGTTGAAATTTTGAAGTCGATCATTATTAGGAGTGTGAGACTAGCTAATAGTAACCATTTGACTAGAGCTGGAACAGCCAAGAGATTTATTCCTGAAAAATAATTATTCTTTGGACCTAATTGAGAATAATATCTTTTTACTGTGGGATAAATTTTCAGACTGAGACTATTTTGTCAAAGATAAAAAAGCGGAATCCTATTCTCACGTCCTAATTTTACCGTCATTCCTGCTTCCAAAAAAAGGCGAACTAGTAAGAAAGTAGTGGATCAAACCAGCGTTAAAAGAAACCCTCACACTTTTTCCGGTTATGCCGTTTAGAAAGAACTACGATCCATTATCGAGATCCAACTGCTAAGAGATTGGCTGCTCCCCTGGTCGACCTTATGTTGGTGATACATGCAGGCCTATTCGACAAAGATTATGGGAACACGAAAATGTTTGTAAAAGCAGCTGGGTCCAACGGTCAGAAGTGGCATACCACAAAACAGAGATTAGACATGAGAGAGAATGGCCTCAAACGAGTATGGTATGTCTGCTGTTAAAAGAACTACTTCTGCTTGATTGATAGATTGAAGGAGAAAGGGTGTTGGGCCGCAATCCTAAATAACGCGATTCGACTTGCCCGCTCAGTTAAGTCTTTCCCTGTATTGTTAAACCTTAATGACACTGGAATTAAAAGTTGGAGCAGGTGTTTTCGTAACCTAACTTACACACTTACAAGCTTACATTTCATTATATCGTATAGGCATCAATAGACACACACACATGCACGCACACACGCATACACAAATGTAAATAGTCTGACCAACATGAAAGATAATCAGCCAAACCATTCTATCTATCTATGCCTATACATTTTACTATTTCAGTTGAGTATAAATAAGAGGTAAGATAGAGTCAGATAGACTTATTGACCTAGTGTCAACATGAGACTTACTTTCCATGCTTTAAATAGAAACAACTTGAGAGGTTGAAAAGTAAACTAATCTTACCACTACCCCACCAACAATAATAAACTGCGGAATTAAGAAGCCTCCTAACGCAATAACCACAGTTTAGAAGACCTCTATAATGCTTAAGTAAATATGAGTACCGAATCAAGTTGCCAGAATTCAAAGGAGAACCCAGAAATTTTGTTGGAAAGCGACCCGTTCCAGGATGATAATGGGATCCATCTAGAATGGAATACACGAGAATAACGTCAGAGTAAATTCAAGTAACCTGCTGATTTACGGAGCCATTAGCTCTGTGTCGCGAGTGAGGCAAAGTCGGCTGAAATGCCTGTCCTACGCGTATAACTATACGAAGTATATAGTTTTAATCATATGCTTTATACTTTCAGCTTATTCCGCCCGCCTCATTAAAATCTATATTAATGATGAAATAGTAAGACTGTGAACCTATCGGGAACCGGAAAGCTTTAGTAAGCCTAATTATTAATCAATATTTCATGGACAAGGGGAAAAGTATTGAAAGAGGAGCTGAATT